CCACGCACCACTCAACCACACAACACACAACCACACCACCACACACCACCAACCACACACCACACCACCACACAACCACACAACCACACAACACACACCCCACAACCACCAACCACACAACCACACACCCCCACACCCACACACCACACCACCCAACACCCCACAACCTCAGCACCCGACACCCGCACCACACCTCACCCGCCCTCACACCCGCCACCCTCACACCTCCACCCTCACACGGGCCCCACACCCTCACAGACACCTCACACCCCCACACCCGCTACACCCCTCCACCCCCAACCCGCACACCCACTCCACCCTACACTACACACACACACCCACCCACACACAGCCCCCCACACACACCCACCCACACACCCACACACACCCACACACACACCCCACCCACCCCACCACCCAGCCCAGCCCACCCCCCACCCACCCACCCCCCTCCCACCCACCCACAAACACACACACACACAACACACAAACACACACACCACACACACAAACACACACACACAACCACACACACACACACACACACACACACACACACACACACACACACACACACACACACACACACACACCCACCCACACACCCACACACACACACACACACACACACACACACACACACACACACACACACACACACACACACACACACACACACACACACACACACACACACACACACACACACACACACACACACACACGCAAGCTGACCTCGTCGAGTCAGGCCGTTTTCAGTCATTTTGCAACTTTGAACAATCCATCGCCGAGGCCATTCGTCACAATGCCGAAAGCGGAGTCCGCCACCTCAGACAGCGCAGTGAGTGGCTTGCGTCATTCTTGCTGGCCTAGGCCGGGCCAGCGCTTCAAGCGCTGGGAGGTTCAAATGGAGCTCCTGTTGGAAGCTGAGCCGGCCGTCAACGTGGTTCAATGTGGCTCCACTTCTCTTAAGTTGTTTGATGCCAGCTGCGCGATCGACCAGCAGTTCACGGAGCACTGGTGGAGCGGAGGCATCCCTGGGTCCCTGACATCCAATGCGTTGTTCAATGCATTTCTTTGTTGCATGGTATCCGCACTAGGGTGCCCGAAGCTCCTTCGGGAGATGATCGTCCGCGACCCTGCCGACCGCCGCAAGCTTAATCCGGCCTTTCTTTACCAGTTGGAACGTGGCATGATTGGTCTCAGGTTGCAGCGCAGCAGACGCTCTACGGATGGTGTGATGCACCGATCTTTGTTTCGAAGTCTGGAAAGATCGCAAGCCGGTTTGGCGGTGCAGGAACAGTCAAGCTAAGATTATAGTCATACCTCACCAGCGCCGAGTGGCAGCCAAACCATAGACATACTTCATTACAGAAGCTGTTCACACACACACACACGCACACAGAGACACAGGGGACATACTTGAGCACAACAGGTGTTCACACACAGAGGACCTACTTCATCAGAGTGGCGGCGCACTCGGAAAAGGAGCGTGCCTCATCAGAGCGGACTGACACCCGGACAGAGGACATACTTCATCACAGATGTAGTTTGCTGACATCGGGGGCATACCTCGCCAGAGCCCAGTGGCAGCCGGACCAGAAACATACTTCGAGTAGAACCAATATCACCAGCAGCAGCAGCAGCAGCAGCAGCAGCAGCAAAGGCACCGACAAACGGCAACATCAGCAACAAAATCAAAACACGTGCAACGGCAGCAACAGAACAAAGAGCATCAGCACTAGTAACTCCATCATTGACATCATCATCGTCATCATCGTCCTCATCGACATCAGCATTAACATCAACACATCTCAGCATCAAAAACAGCATCATCATCATGATCCTCACCATCCTCATCTTTCACCATCGCCATCAACATCATCATCACCACTATCACCAGTATCATCACCAGTACCATAATCATTTACTGAGCATCATCATCACCGACGACAGCATGACCCTTATCATTAGTGTTTCGAAGACGGGGATACAGACCCTCCGTTCGCGCCAGAATGCTTTGATCTTCTGCTCCTTGCAGCATGTAAGAACTTCTACAAGGATCCACGAACCCATGTTGATGAACGTACATGTGCTCGTGTCCGCGACGGCCGCCGAAGCCCCTGCTCTTGAGCTTCTCACTGGTTTCACCAGAATTCATTGTCTGAGTTTGTATGGGGCGCGTTCACCGATCTCAAGCCATCCAGCAAGACAAGGTGTATCTACACATGCAAAAACATGTATCCATTCATATACATATATATATACATATGTTCTCATACAGATGCACACACACACACACACATATGTTCAGATATGCACTGAATATACACGTGCGCTCACACACACATATATATATATATGTATATATATGTATGCATGCATATATGTATGTATTTATGTATGTATGTGTATATATGTGCATACGAGACATTCCTGTAGGGTTTACCTTGCCATCAAGGATTTCCTGCGTTAAACATAGAGATTTCAATCACGTAAATTATTTACCTATTTCTTTTTTTTTAATTGCAAACCGCCCAAAAAATGAGACACACTTACAATCAGTACCGAGCTACCTTAAAATGTCCGGAAGAATCATGCTGATACCGCTAGCCTGAGAAAGCGCCAAGGTGGGATAATTTCCACCCCCCCAGCTGGAATAACATAAATATAAATTACTTGTTCCAATTATGTCATTTCTACATCGCAAGCCACCGACACTACTGAAAATGCTGACACCAATTGGAATCGGTATTACATGTATCCTAAGGAACGAGGCTTCCCACCACAATTAAAAGGATGAAAACCTTTATTCAAACCAGCTCGACGAAGTAATTAAACCAGTAATATTATATGCCGGCATTTAATTGTCTGAACCGTTTAGGTTTGTTTGAGTATTCTGAACAGGTCGCAATAAACAGACACACGAAATATCTCAAGTACTTCATGTTGCTCATTTTGAAACCACCAAAGCTCTAAGCCCTTCGTCTTGAGCCGCGGACCGTCTGATCCAATAGTAGCATCGTAAGATTTCAGTTCGCGTTGCTGTCTTGTGGCGCCTCAACTAGGAATGCCTGTTGGTTCCTTGGCTGATGAGCCCAAGTCATACGAGCGAGTGATCCTTTAACCCTCAACCCGTTTAGGAACTATATAGTGTTCTCGGTTCGCGATCATTTTGTTGCTCAGGGTAGCCGTGCGCATGCTGACTCCCAGAATCAGATGCTATCGTATGTCGGCGCCAGCTCGTAGCCACGACAATCCTAAACCTCCTAAGCCCCAAGCCACGAAGCTCAACCAAACTGTAAAAGGCTGATGAGTGTACACGGAACTAGCAGTTTGGGTCTCCATTCCATGGCAGCGTCCGGCTGAAGGCCAGCGCCCCGGAGCACATACACCCGTAGGCCCAGTGTGCGCCGTACAAGCCTTACAAACAGAGCCCTCGGCTAGGCGTGTGCACGGTCTGGTCAGGCGCCAAGATCATGACAACGTCAATGGCGAGGGAAGGGGTTTTCTTGACTTGGGGAAGGGGTCTCTGGAGTTGAGCGGTTGCACGGACCACAGGGCTTCAGGACTTTACCACGCCAGTGACTTCTGCCTGCCAAGTGAAGAATGCTTTACTGCAACGGGGGCGACGGGGATGGATGTGCCGTGGGGAAGCTTCTTAGGCTGGGCTGGGAGAGCCAGGTATAGGCTGTTCACAACGCTTCGTTTGGCTTCTGTCAGCTCGGGAGGATGACAGCCAGGTGAACAGGCAGTGATGCGCAGGAGATATAATCTGGAGACTTTTTATACCGGTGGGACAATTGGGGGGTGGGGTTATAAAGCGGCCCGACTCCCTTTCAAATCTATTCACACTTTGTGCAAGGTAGCAAAGATCGCCCTTTCGAGGCCGTATTCCACCGGTGATGCATCGCGTTCACATGCCGGGCTCTGAGATGCTCGCGAGGCGGGCATCAACCTTGTCTCGAATTGTCGACAATGGCCGAAACACAGTCTCCAGTGATGCACGTCAAATTTTTGAGTGCTTTTGGAATGGCTGGATCACACCTCTATGATCTGTCTCGGGCGTTGATTTCAACCCCGCACACACGTTGGCAGTCGGCTTCCCAGCATGTGGCAGCCTCAACTCTGTCCGGCGAGGGGAAGGAGTATCATTCTGCTCGGGCCGGCTTGGTGTTGCTCTCAATGTCTCATCCATGGTTGTTTCTCTGGCTTGGACATCTCCGTGCAGCCAAAAGACGGGTGCTGGATCAACAGAGCCAACATCTTTAAGCGTTGCGGGTGCAGTATAAAGGGTCGGGATTAGCATCGAAGCGAGCATGAATGAGTTGCGGACGAAATTCTTTTTGAGGTCTTTGGGTACAATCGGTTCGGAGGCAGATCGGTCGGACATTTCCGGGCTTCAATGTTACGGCGCTGGTGTGCTAAGCACCGGCTGTACTGTCACAGAATTGGAAGTGTTGGCCGAGGTGATGTTCACGACCCGAGAGACTCTCGTCTGGGCTGAGGTCGGTTGCTTCACATGCACCACTGCAAAAGTCTTACCACCAATCGCGTCTAATTGCTGCATGGCCAGTGTCCGATGCTCTTGTGGAAACTTCTGGAGCTGGCCGCGTAAGTGGCCAGGCAAGTCTCTTCATGCCATCTTGCACGGCTCCTCTAAAGCAATTCTGGCACATAGAGTGCATATGCGACCTCTTCGCAGCAGCAGCCAGGTGGCTTTTCGTGAACCAACGGCAAGATGGGCAAGCCAAGGCAAAACAGCAGACTTCCCTGCGTGGTTCCCATGACAGATCGCGCGATGCACAGGCGGTGCCGCAACATTTGCCCCATCTTCGACCTGACACAGATTTCGCGTGGTCCTGGCCCAAGGCCGAAGTGGTCGCAAGCAGAACTGTTCCAAGTCTTAGACCCTCCGCTTCAGCAGAAAGCTGTTCTGGTTGTCTTGGATGTCTGTCTTTTGTCGAAAGCTGGTCAAAGAAAGCTATCCTGGGACAGCTGCGGTTGCGCTCGTGTTTGTGGACTTTCGGGCAGACTGTTCTGGGTGTTTTGTGTTTGCGCTCCTGATCAGTTGAACAATCCTGGTGGGCTCCGTCACGCTGTGTGCAGGTTCTGAGTAAGTCTCGCGCAGCAGGTGACCTCACAGCCGCCGAGTCGTGTGGGGTCGAGAGCAAGGCTGCTTGTGGATTCTTTCGGTGTAGACCTACCGCCATAATGAGTGGAAGCCAACCTGCTGCTCTCCTTCCTCAGCCTTCTGCCCGAACCCTAAGCCCGAAACGACGGCTCCTGAGCGTGGCAGGTTGTGAGCCGCTCCTCAGCCGGGAGACTTCCAGGCTCCTTCGGCGGTTTGGCAATCTTGAGCAGCTCTGCAGCGCAGGATGCGTTCGGGGTTTTTGATGAACAGTCACGTTTTCGCTTCGACCTTCCGGAAGCACAGAACTGTCAGTCTTGATTCATCAACTCGATTTCACACTGCTGCCACATTGTGCCGGTCTTCAGCCGTTTTCGGTCAAGCTCAGAAGGGATTCCTGCTCTTTCCCAACATGGGATGCATTTTCAGCGAAGAAGAGTCTGCGGCTTATGAGCGGGATGTGCTGTGTGTCGGGATCGGGACCGAAAACTTGCTTGAATTCAGGTTTTGTGCGTTCGAGTGTCATTCAGAGTTTATAGCTTTTGGCTTCAGGCAAGCCTCGAGCGAAAAGGCATTGCAAGCAAGACGCCAAGTGTGGTCAGCACATACCTTGGTTTCCAGCTTATACGGCTTCATTATCTCTTCGGTTCGCGGCTCGATTTGTGTAGCAGCCCATGACTCCGGTATGATGATAGCAGCAAGATATCCGCAATAGTAACATGTCTATGTATATATATATATATATATATATGTATGTACATGTGTGCATGTACATACGTATGTATGT